GACACCGGAAGAGGAGAGGAGTAGGGAGACGGCGTGGCTGAGAATGCAGGACCTAAAGATGGTGGCTACGTGTGTGAGGACAAGGGACCTAAAGATGGCAGCAACGCGTGTGAGGACAAGGGACCTAAAGATGGCTGCAATGCGTGTGAGGACAAATGACTTAAAGATGGCGGTGGAGAGAGGGGGTGGGGATCGCGGGCTGAGGGAGGCGGGCAATGGAGGTCCTCTGGCAGATCTGAAAAGGAGGAAGGACTGGGCAGAGTAAGAGGCTAACAATCCTTAACTGGAGATCAGGCCAGGAGAACCTGGGTTGTTGAACACTTAACGTAAAGGTCAGGGTGGAGCACAATGTCCAAAAGGCCTGGACATATGGGACTTCAGACCACCTCCCAGTTCAGTGACAGAAGTTAGTTGCATTGGTGAGGAGGCTAAAATCAGTAGTTCCCTCCGGGGCCCAGTGAGATTGTCCAGAGGATGCCGGAGCCAAGTCTGAGAACAGAGTTGGACCAGTTTCCATTTACGGATCTCCTCCATTATAGGGTTGCCAGATTGGACATGAGACACCACAGAGGGGTCTGAGCCTTCGATTTAGAGGACTGGTTCCCCATGTGTGTTACCCGTTTCCTGGAGCCCCTAAACTGGCGAGCCCAGCCTCCCAAACTCACTCAGATTAGGAAGAGACAGAAGTATCGTACTCTTCCCCGGAGATCTGGGAGCCCCGATGAGGTCATCTCTATCTCGTGATCAGTACAGGCTTAATGCCCGGAGAACCTGGATGTAGCTATGATTTCGAAGTTAACCGAACTATGTGGAGACAGGACTGGGAAAACACACCGGGGGAAAGGAGGGACTCACTCAATCGCCGTCTGAGGTGCTGGGAATAGGCAGAAGTCCCGGATTGGGGCAGTAGGGGTGGGAGCGACCAGTGGCCATCTAGAACCCCGCACCTTATCTCCTTCTCGGGTTTCAGCACTAGATGTAAGGTAAAATCGAGCAGAAATGACCAGGCGAGGAGGCAAGAAAGGAGCCAAAACTTTAATACAGTGCAATCCCAGGGGATGTTTGCCCGTCTGGTTAGTCACAGGCTGGAGAAGTCGCGCCCAGCAGGGCAGGCAGTGAGTTTATAAAGAAGTTACGGGGAGGGAGAGTGTAGATCTACAGTGGCGCGAGGATTGGCTAGCCTAAGGTACGTCATCAAGCCCGAATCTGTTGGTCTCTTTCCGTTCCTATGCTGGGGTTGGGGGCTTTGCTGCCCCCTTTATTTGGTGAGGGCTGAGCTCATCTGACATGCTCACACCTTGCTCTGGTGCCTCCAGCCTTACAACTCTTACATTAAAAAAAATGTGATGCGATATACTATTCATTGCCACACTGATGTTCTTGCTATGAGATTTTTTCTTTCTTTTTTTTTTAAATTAACTGTGAGTTCATACACCCAGTTTCCTACAGGAGATTATGTTTAACTTCTCTGAAGTACATAGTGAATGAGGCGAAGAACTCTAGCCTCTGGCCTCTGCTGTGTTATAGTGTTTCCCTTTTTGCCTCTAGGTGGAGCTATTTTCTGCCCCACACTCGTCTACCCAGAGAGCTTAGTGTAGGGTAGGTGTCCAGTTCTTTTGCTTCCTTGCTAAAATTCCCAGCTTCAGCTTTGAGGTTCGCAGCTTACACCCCTGTGCTATGGTTCTGCAGATTTCTGAGTGCTGCCCCTCGCCCCTCAGTGTCTGTTAGCACTGGGCTCACTGCCAGTATCTCTGTGCTGTTCCTGCCATCATTCTCAGAGAACTGGGTATCCTGATGGGGGAATCCATCTGACCCGAACCTCTCCGCTCCTTGGCCGCCTTTCTCCCCATGAGCTTGTCTCTCCTTGCCTCAGCTGCCTTCACTTGGGTTTCCACATCATACTGTCTGGCCACCACCACCAGTTTTCAACTCACCTCCCCTTCTCCCCATCTCCAACCTACTCTTCAATTTCTCTGAGACTTATATTGGTCTTACCACTTTCTGCTCTCCATCCTGCCCTCCTGTGGCCCAACCACTTCACTTTTCTCTTTGCTCAGTTTAGAGTCCGTGGCTGAGCCCCGCTCAGTGCCTTGCAGATATCCATAATTTCCTTTCCTGTCTCTTCCTCCATTGGTCTCCCCTGGAGAATCCTAATCTTGGTTCAATTTACTTCCCCACCTTCCCCACCCCTGTACTGATTGGGCTACATATGGCTGGAGAAAAGCCCAATGAAAAGTACTGGTCTCCGTCTCAATTCATGACTGCCCATCTCAAGTGAGCCCTCCTTATAGACTTGTACATGTAGTTCATTTTCCTAATTTATATGCCTTCCTGTTTACTTCTGTGACTGCTCTTGCTTTAAATTTCCAGTGTCTCCTACCTTGTCATCACTGTCACCTGATTAATTCCTATTACACTGAGAATGAAGAAGAGAAATGTATCAAAAGACATTAAAATTGATAAATAAGTGAAACATTCAGTAGGGATTTTTTAAAAGTTAAATGGGAGAAGTATAAGAAAGAAAATAATTTAAAAGAAGCCCATTTTTCACCATCTAGATAACCCTTGTTGACATTAAAGAAGAAAAACAAATTAATGCATGTATATGATTAGAAAATTCCAGCAGTGTAGGAAAACAGAGAATGAGAAGTGAGAGTGCCCTTCCTGTGTCACCGTCCCCTCTCCTCAGTGTGAGATTCTGCTGGTGGCTTCCTGAGAGTTCTTCCTTGGCAATTCTGTTCAAATCTATATTGTATATTATCTATATGTTCTTTAAAAACTATATATATATATATAGGAAAGATCTAGTGTAAATACTATACTGTACTTTCTTTAAGTAATCCATAGACATTTAAGTAGATTTGTTTAAGTCAAAAGATATTGTTCTCTGAATTTTTTATTCACCATCAAATCCCTGTTTACTCAGAAAAATTTACATGCCCATTTGGGAATTTTGTGAAATTTTTTTAAACAAATCATCATGAAAAGCTTACATTATCTCTTTTTATTATTCATTATGTTACTTTTTGTTTGTTCAGTTCTAGACTGAAAAACAGAATTGAAGGTATCCTGTATGCTGTTTTCAGAGAGCATATGTCTTGAAGATTTTCTCCTCTTTTAAAGGCAACTTCTGCTTGTTTATTTAAATTATGGAATATGTGTTTATGAAAGGAAAAGTAGAAAATTATAGTGAGATTTGAAGAAACCAGTCACCCATAACCCCACCACTCTCAGAGGCAGTGTGAACTTATTGTTGTTTATATTTTCAGTTCCTCTGTATGTATTTGTGTGTAGAAAAACTGTATACGTGTAGCATATGTATGCAGTAACAACTGATACGCAGTTGAGACTGTGCAAATATACGTAGATCTGTATTCTCTTTTTTTCACTCAACATTGTATCAAAGCTATTTTCCCATCTCTTTAAGAACCTTTTTTCTTCACATTTTAATGCCTGCACACTGTCCGATTTGTATGAACTGTATATAGTTCAATATCATTTCAGTAAAGTTCAAAAATATCCAAACAAGCCATATACTATGTAGAGACACATGTAAAAAATGCCAAGGAAATGATAAATTCATGATAGTAGTTGTCTCTGAAGGAATAACAGGCAGGTTGGATGGAGAAAAAATTGGGAATGTCTTAGTTCTTAACTCAAATGGTGAGTTTAATGGTTTTCTCTATTCTTTATACCATAAAATCTATGCATTTTTATTTTGTGTATGTGATATATAGTCTTTTATATTGACCAGGTATTTTAAGAAAAACCGTTAGACCACAGTAGACCCATTTCTACTCCAGGTCATTGCTTGCTTAATTATTTTTTTATTCCATGGCCACCTTATATTTTATTTGCTACTTGTTATCACATGTAAAATATTACATATATATTAAGTGCGCGCTAGGGGCAAGAATTGAGTCGCAGCGTTGTGCTCATCACCCACAGTGCTCTGCTGCTGTAGCTGTGGCAGCAGTTTGTTTGAGTCACTTTCTCAGAGCATCTCTTTCTGTTCAGAGCACTGGTTGGGGACTGGGAAGCTCACCCAGGAATTTCACACCTGAGTTGCTCAGGCCTGCCACTGCAATAGTGTTGTGGGTCATCCTGCAGGAAGCCTGAGCATGTTGTGAGGGCACAGATAAGGCAGTGGGATTGCGGAAGGAAGTGGTAAAATCTGAAGACAGGTCCCTGAACTGCTGCCTCAAGATGCAATTTGTACTCAGATAGCTAAGGCTTGACCTTACTTTGAGAGGACAATTTCACCAGATTAGCATTTGTCCTCACTGACTTCCAAGGTAGTGAGTGAGGAAGTGTGGATGTTGGAAATGGTTATGTATCAATTGGATTATCCTCACTTTTGCAGGCTGACCTTTCTGTGCTTATATTGAGTTTATTCTGGTGTTAAATCTCACTGGTAGTGATATGTATGTTTAAAAATGATTATAGTTTATAATGTATATATACTATTTCAAATGTTCTCATTTAAAAGTTTGATTATAGTGTTTATAATATGTACAGTTGATCAGTGAACAACACCAGGGTTGGGGGCCCTGACACTCCCCACCCCCAGTGTGCAGTTAAAAATCCATGTTTATAATTTCTGACTCCCCAAACACTTAACTACTAATAGCCTTCTGTTGATTTTATGGTAGTAAATGATAAAATAGACTAGTATTTAGATGTATTTTATGCATTCATGACAGCCTTTTTCTTAACTTTTTTGATATTTTTAGGTTATGTAGCTCTTCTACAAATTTTTTCAAAACTGTTACCAATCTCCAAGATTTTTTCCAATATATTTATTGAAAAAAATCTACAAATATATGGACTTGTGCAGTTCAAAGTCATGTTGTCAAAGGGTCAATTGTATACAAAATTTTTTGCCTTCCATGAGTTATTTTATTAAGAATGATAGGTACAGTCTGGGGCAAAGCATTATCTGTATTTTATTTCAGAGTTATTTTGAAATCTTCACTTATTAACATTTTTGTTTTTTACAGAGTCATATTAAATCAGTAGATATGGGAGAAACTAACATAGATGGAGCCATAGGTGAGTAGACCATGGGACATTTTAGATCTTTGTGGTATTTCAATATTGTGATTTTGAACACGTGAAAAACACCTAAATAATTGACTGTATTCCTAGGACTCATGGCATCGGAAGAATTTATCAAGATCACATTGTCAACTTTTGAAGCAATAATACAGTATCCTATTTTATTGAAAGACCACTGCTCTACGGTAAATTCTGGCAGCTTTTGAAAATGATACTTTCTCATTTACTTGGTAATACTGTATATAAAGATATTGATTTTACATGTGCTTGATTCATATGTGTTCTCATATGAAAAAGACCACTCAGAAAAGCTGCCCCCTGACAAGATGACCGTGAGAAATCCCTCCCTTCCTTGTTGACTTTCGGGATTTTTCTTTCCTTTCCGGCCCGCCTCTTACCTCTAGTGTATTCCTTCTTACTTCCTGTATGATTATTTGTTGTGAACAATAGCACAGACTCTTATTAGAGTTTCCCAACTTTGGCACTGTGAGCATTTTGGGATGGGCAGTCCTTTTCTGCGGGGGCTGTCCTGGGCATTGTAGAATGTTAGGTGAGGGCAAGGGCGGGCATTCCTGGCCTCTAGTCACGAGATGTGGGTGGTACCCATTCCTTCTCCCCTCAGCTATGATGAACAAAAAGATCTCTATACATTGCCGGATGCCATCTGGGCAGCCAGATTCCTGCCATTTCAGAACCTTTGCCTTACAGTGATTCTTAGGTGAGCTGAGTGCTGACTTTAGAGGGAGGAGAGGCTTTGTGCCAACATTCTCATCAGCAGAAAGTCCTCAAGGAAAGGAGCCAGGTGAGACGAGAACCACAGTAATCATTTTCCTGTTCTTTGTCATGGTTCTGGGGGCCCACTAGCTCAGCAAGGGGGCTCGCACTGGGGTCTTTGAGGTGGTTCCGGTCAGTAGTGCTCAGGGCTGGAGTCCTCTGGAGGCTCTTTTACTCACACATCTACCTCCAGCTGGGACTTCTCATGGAACCCTCTCCATCTCTGTATGTCTCTTCAGCAGGGTGACTTCAGGACAGCTGGACTTCTTATGTGGCAGCTCAGGACTTAAATACACGTCTCAAGAGAGAGGGGATAATAATTTTTTTTTGAGAGTAGGACATTTCTACCAACTCTTTATGGTTCTTTGTTTTTATTTTTTGTTCTTCATGTTTTATATATTATTGTAAAATACAAAATACAGAAAAGTGCATGTGTTTTAACAAGAAGTTATAAAGCAAGTGCTTGAGAAATCGCCACTCAGTTAAAAAAATAGAACATTAACACAGACCCAAAGTCCTTTCAATTCCAAGTCCCTTCCTCCCCAGAGGGGACCACCAGCCTGACTCTCATAGTAATTTTCCCATGTGTTCCTTTGTAGGCCTGTGTGTGCATTCCTAAACACAGAGGTTGGTTTTGCCTGCTTTAGCATTTTGTATCAAGATGATATGTATTCATTTGTGACTTGCTATTTTTTGCCCAGTGTTTGTAGGACATCCATGTTGTTAGGTGTCTTTATGTTTTACTTTCTCATCAACATGTAGTTGATTCCATTGTAGGAATGTGAATATATGCATATATCACAATTTACTTATTTATGCTTGGTAGACATTAGATTGTTTCTAGTTTTTGGTATTTACAAACAATATTGCTATGGATATTCCTTTATATATTTTGTTCCACATAAACATGCATTATTTCTAGGATACATACTTAGGAATGGAATTAGTAGTCACAGAATGTGTGCAAACTCAGTTTGTCTAGAAAATGCCATGGTGTTTTTCAAGGAGTGTTTTACCAGTTTACATTCACAACAGTGCAATACCTGATCTCCTTATCCTAACCAACTCTCATTATTTTCATACTTTTTAGTGATGTTGCTATTGCTATGATATTCTTTTTCTTGATCAGTTTAACCTGAAGTTTGTTAGTTTTAATAACTTTGGAGCCTGTCAGTGTTCAGTTTTCTAGTTTCCTCTGTTATGTTTCTTTCCTACTTCATTAACTTCTGCTTTACCTCTTGTTTCTTTTCCTTTCTTTGGACTTATTTTTCATCCTTTTCTAACGTTTTGAGAAAAATCTTTAGTTTTTTCATCTTCCATATTTCTTCATTTCTAATATATGTATTTAAGATTGTATCTCTTTTTAAGTACTGCTTTAGCTGCATCTCACCAGTTTTGATATGTAGCTTTTTTGTTATCTTTCATTTAAAATATTTGCTTTGATTCTTAGGTTACTAAGATATGTATTTAAAATTTCAAATGTATGGATGCTTTTTAATTATTTTTGTATAATTCATTTCTAGCTTAATTGCATTAAAGTTAGGGAAATATTCTGTGTAGTTCCAAATGTTTTGAAATGTATTGATTTGCTTCATTAGCCCATTAAAAGATTGTTTTATTTTTGTTTGAATATGTGTTTGAAAGTACTCTTTATTTTTTTTGTGTAGTTTTTCTATAAATTTCTGAGACAGTGTATAAAAATCTCATTTAAGGATATTATGAATTTCTTTATTTTTGTGTAGTTCAGTCAGTTTTTATTTTATATATTTTGAAGCCATGTTATTAGGTGCATACAAATTAAAAATTGTTGTTTTATGAAATTGACCATTTTTTCATTGTGAAGTAATCTTTATTTCTATTCACAATTTTTGCTTTAAGGTCTATTTTGCCCCATTTTAATATAATCACATATGTTTTCTTTTGCTTAATATCTGCCTGATATGTTTTAGATCTGTGTCATGAAAATGTCATATGGAATTTAAAAAAAAATCTAATTTGACCAATATTTAACTTTTCAATGGAATGTGTACTCCATTACATTTACTGTAATTGTTAGTGTATTTGGGTTCATTCTACCATCTTCTTTCAGACTTTGTCATGCATATTTTTACTTACCTCACCTCTACTTTCTTATTTTCTGTTGACTACCTTTTTTTTTTGCATTAATGTTTTACCCACATAAGGTTGGTGTTTAAATACTCTTTATTCTTCACTACTTACTCTAAAATTTATATTATGCCTATTAACTTATTAAAAGCTGAACTTAAAAAGAAATTTTTTCTTTAAGTAAAATTTAAACTTAAGGTAACTCCATTTAGTCCCCTCAGGATATGGTATTTTGCCTGATATTTTAAAGTCTGTCTTTTTTTTTAAACTCTTTTGTTATCAAATAAAATGATAACACTATTTCTCTCACAATGTTCATTTACAGACACTTACCTATTCGCTTTTTCTGTATTTCTTTCCTTCTTAGTTCTCACTCCTCCATCTGGCTGCATTTATTTCTGACTGAAGTAATGCTGCCCAGCCTTCCTCAGCCTGGGTGTGTTGGCGGCAAACTCACTGTCTGATGGTCAGTTTCTCGAGGGGGATTTTTGCTGAGTGATGAATTCTAGGTCAGCACTTATTTTTGTAACTGTTGAGTACTGTGAAGATATGCTTCATTATCTTATGTTCTGAATTTTCTTGTAGTCTGTTTTTCCTGTGAAGGTAATCTTTTTGTCCCTTATCTCCTTTTAAGACTATTTTTTTGGAGGAGGGTCTTTGGTTTTCTCTAGACACACTATGATGTACCTAAATGTGAACTTCTTTTTATTTATTTTGCTTAGGATTCTTTGTACCTTTTGAATATGTAGACTGCCCTTTTAAATCAATTCTGAAAAGTTCTCAGCGATCATCTCTGCTTATTGTCGCTGCCCTTTGCTCTGTCTTCTTCAGCAACTAAGATCACATAAACATCAAACTTTCTCCTGTGTTTTCTGTATGTCTTACTGTCTTTCTACATATTGGATCTTTTTCTCTGCCAGTGCTATATTCTGAAATTTTGTTCAGCTTATTGATGTTTTCTATGTCCAGTCTGGTGCCAAACATAGCCACTGAGTTTTTTTTTCCCTGTTGAGTTTTTACTTTTGTTTATTTTTCATGTGCAGAATTCTTGTTATCACTAGAAATTCTGCTTGTGTCTTTTTTCTTCAGTCTAGTATTTTGCTTTTTTATAATTTACAATTGTGTGTAGCTATTTTCTAGTTTGTGTTGTATTTACTCACATTTGTGAGATGTAGTGTTTCACACTGTGTCTGATAATTATACTATCAGAAGACCATGATACATTGTCTGTTGTATCTCGTTCATGCTGAGCTCATTTTAATTCCTTGGAAACCTTATTAATGTTTACTGCTCCTTGGTTGTCGGCCTTGTCGTCTGTCTGTGGGTATCCTCTGAAGCTTAGTGTGGAAGTTCCTCCAAGAGGCTTCATGTTTGTTTTGGGGCCATGCCATTCAGGGCTACCTCAGGTCAAGGTCATTGCAAATGTGTGCAAATCTCTGACTATAGGTCTGAGATCATAACTTCCCAAGGCAATTACCGGGAGTGTGAATGTATGTGGAGGGGTCAGTGACTCCATCTGATTTCCCTTACTCTGAGAGTTTAATTCCCCTACTCAGTGTCCAGTTCCATGTAGGAGACTAACAAAGCTCCATATGCTGAGAAGACCTGGACTCAGACCTCTGTCTCTCTGGGCCCAGCGGCCCCACTAGAGCCTTGGGTTTGTACTCCTGGTAGTGCATTTAGGGCACAATCAGTTACAGGCTCATATGTTCTCCTCAACTGTCCGGTTAAGGCTTTCATTCAGAAATTGGTCTGAAAGTATCCTCACTGTCTTTTTATATCTTAAAATATTTTTAACACATTGATCTTCTATATTTTATGTGGCATTTTTCACTGTTTTTAGTGAGAGAGTTAATTGCAACAACCGTACCTACCTACTATTACCAGAAACTGTGTGCCGTGGTCACTTCCTTACCAGTGGTTCCCCAGTCTTCCACTGAGGTGTTATTGTTTGCTTGAGTGTTGCCTATTGATTCATTTTCCCTAATGAACAATAGCCCTATGGATAATATGTTAAGATCCAGTATTTACAAATATCTATGCTTATATTTAAATAGACATTTAATTAGTTTATTTTGTAATCATGAAATCTATCATAATAAAAATTGAAAATACAGCCTTTGTTATGATAGGGATGGTATCCTTGTAACTTCATAACTATGGGCTTCATAAAAATAGTTTTTAATGTTATATCTCTTGGGAAATCCTCTAATTGTGTCTTCTTGAACCTGACCAAAATACATGAAATTGAAGGTCCAGTATCCCAAGGAGCATAGCATTATTTGATATGTTAGCACAAACTATG